GCCGTTTCCTGCTCCGCCCCCGGGCCCGGGCCGCGGCCACCTTTCCTATCTGCCACCGCCCCCTTCGCAGGCTGCCAGGTGATTCTCCTCGCCGAAACCGCCTGTAACCATTTAACCCAGCAGTTCTCAGGAAATCTCACCCCAAGCGAAGTTCTCCCCCAACTCTCCTCGCAGAAAAACGTGGCTATAACTTTCTAGGGAGTATTTCCTGCCTTATGTTCCTAGGCAATCATACATGCTTGGAAAAAGCTTTTTTCCCACGAAAAGCACACTAATAGGAAATTTACACATGATGATTGTTCAGGTTTTCTGAGGATGTGAACTAGAGAAATAGACGTAACTTTCCCTAATTATAAAAAAAACAGATACTTCTTATAGAAAAGTTAGAAAAATACAAATAAAGGGAAATAAGAAAAAAAATCCATAGTTAAGCATTATTAACTTTGGTCTATTCCTTTTTATTATTTGCCATCCTGCATGTAGCTCAGCAGCCCCTCAAGGTCAAAGATTCTAGGTCTCTTTGCACCAGGCCACCTAAGATGTAATCCTAGTCTCTCTTTCCTTGGTAGGAACCCACAGGGAGGGGTAAAGCAAAACAGAGAAGGAAGGCTCACTTGCCTTCAGGCAGCCAACCAATGACATTAATTTGGAAAGTCACATGTAAACTGGCCAATGAAAATAGACAGCAAGCCATTTTATGCACCTCTCCCTATCAGGGATTTCTCATTGTGCTCCCCGTTCTGTAACAGACACAATTCCCCTTCCTTCCAGCCACCACCTTTTTCCTGAAGAAAATAATTATAAAGATGCATTAAACATGGTTTCTGTCCTCAGAAAGCTCCCATTCTGGTCACTGACCTTAGAAGTCAATATTATTTCTAGTAAGTGTATCTCCTGCCCAGCTCTGCCTGGAAGGGTCCTCTTCGCCTGGTGCTAGTTGTGCCTCTCATCTCACCTCTGCCCGGAGAAGTATCCTTGTCCTGAATCTGACTGGAGGTCTCAAACCAGTCTGTCTCTTCTCTTCAGCTCCCCCTTTCCCCCTCCACTCCTGGGCATGGCCTCTGTTTCTTCAATAGAGCTTCTCCACTTTAAATGTTTTTCTTGTAGCCTCTTTTCTTCTAAACAGTAGGAAGTAAGATCAGGAAGTGCAGGGTGGAAGACAGATGGCATCATATGTTTAGGAGCTTTTGAATCTTCCACAGTGGGGTCCCTGCACCACAGCAGTAGCAGGATACAGTGTGAGTGGGGTGTGCTCCCCAACCCCTTCCAGAGACCCTGCACATGCTCCCAGGAACATTGTATGTATCTGAGTGTTTGTGACCCTGCAAGATTTGTGGTTGCTGGCTTTGAGAATTTTCTAGGCAAATTTTCTTTTTTAATTAAATTTTTTTTAATTGTTCAGAATTTTTGGTTAGTCATTGAATGGCCTAGTGCCTCTTTACAATAACTAGGCAATGACAGCGAAGGTGACTTCTACATGACAGGATTTTGTGAGTAAACAATACATAGCTGTGAGAAATCTTTATATAGACTTAAACATTTCCCCAAAACTTGAGGGACAAAATGGACAAGAGTGCTCCACAATACCTGCAACCATTTTCTTTCATCATAAAGTTCACATACTTGGCTCAAAGAGCAAATGCCTGTGGATTCAAGACATATATCCTATAATTTAATGGCTTAAAAATGCATCCAGAAAGTAAAACCTAACTATTCATCTATTATATTTATTAGCTTCTTGGTTAACATGTCCAGAGGCTAATGACAGTGGCAACTCAAAGCTTGCATGTGATAATTTATTTTATTGACATTTTTAGACAACATAGCAAAATTAGACTTTTTAAAAACACTACATCACTTTAACCTTCAGTTACCTCTCACACCTAGTTTGCCCAGAGTCATTATGTCCTCTGACTTAAGTCCAGAGGTTCTAGGCAAATTTCCAATCCCAGTCTAAAAAACTATGAGCCCTCATCTTCCCTCACCTACCTCCTTTAGCCCTTGCTTTGGTATTAAGGTCATTTTAATGTTCATTGAAGGCAGCATTTCTCCATGTTTATTCCATGGAACAGTAGTTCCTTGGAATGTTAATAACTAGCATATGGATAAAGGACTCTTTGATCAAATATATACAAGAAAAGCTGGATTAAACTAAATGGAACATTTTTTCAAGATCCAGCAAACCCTTAAAGTGTTACGATACATTTGAATTTCTAAGCGAATATGTCATGAGTATTTCCCAGCATTATTCAACCACAAAACCTATTGTCCTCATACGTATCTTAGGACAGATGTCCCAAGGAATTTTCTTTGGGAAATTCTGGTGGCTAGACCAAACATAATTAGAGGGCTATACTGGAGACTTCTAAAAGAACAACAACAAAAATGACTTTTCAAAAGGTTATTCCAAGTGCAGCAGAATTAGAATTTCCTTTTTTACTCTTGGGAATTACTCATTCAGTTGAATATCTACCTCCATTGCTTCTCTTGGAAAGAACACTTAGGTTAACTTTATATGGTTCTCTGTCTACTACATGCACCTTTTTTCCTTCACCACCTATTATATATTGCATCCCAAGTAATGTTCTAAGTGCTGTACATATATTATTAAATTCCCACAATAAATATACAAAATAGGAACTATTACTATCAATCGCATTTTACAGATGTGGAAGCTGAGGTACAAAGAAGTAACTTGTCCAAAGTCACAAAGCCAGTAAGTGGCAGAGTTATGGTCTAAGTGAGGCAGTCTGATTCCAGACCTTGTGCTCTTAGTTATTACATCATACATCCTCATCTAGCTATGCCTCAATGTGTATTTACAGCTATTTGATTCTATCAGTGTGTGCTAATGCAGTTTCTTCCCACGTATGCCATTTAGTTTCACACAAAGAAAAACTCTATTCCAGTGCCATGAGCTCTCCGGGACTGAATGACGAGCCAGTCATTCTGCCAGCATGTGCCACTATTCAATAGAGATTAGATAGGAGTGTACATTTGGCTCAGAACAACAGTTCTTTCATTGCTGGATATAGAAGAAAAAATCACTTGACCTGCTGATAGTGACTGAGACAAAAGTGTCCACATATACAAAATAATAATAACTGTAATATTTTAAATGGTTCCATTGTGCTAGGCTATATTCTAAGCACTTTTTTTTTCTTAGCAGGGTAGGTAATTAGGTTTACTTATTTTTAGAGGAGGTTCTGGGGATTGAACCCAGGACCTTGTGTATGCTAAGCACGCGCTCTACCACTTGAGCTATATCCTCCCCCTCTAAGCACTTCTTGTTTTAACTTCAATAATTCCCTCAACAACACTATGAGGCAAGGACTGCCATTGTCCCCATTTTATAGCTGAGGAACTTGAGGTACAAAAATTCAGTTACTTACCCAGGGTCACCCAACTTGTAAGTAGCAGAGCTGAGATGTAAACTCAGGCAATCCGTGTTCAGAGCACACACCCTTAATTCCTACCCTAGGCATCCTGTGCTGCTTTGTGTTGACTGGTCCAGGGTCTAACCATACAGTACTGAGCTTATGATCTTACCATTTACAATCATACTTCCAAGTTGAAACTGTATCCATGAATGTATCTGAATATTGTGTCTATAAGGTGCATGTGTATCTGTATTTGAGAATAATGTGATATTTGTACATCTATATGTGTATTTATCAAGAATGGAGAAAAGAACATCTAAATAAAAGTTATGCTTCAGACAGTTAAATTTAAAGGAGGGCAAGAAATGAAAGCAGCTAACTGATGCTACATCATTTGGAGTATATCGTATCTATCTTTGTATGCCTAGCATACAGTATAGTACTTGGCATATAGGTAGTGCTCCATAAATATTTGTTGAGCTCATTATCCATAATTTCTGGAGGAAGTGACATGTGATCTAGGTTTGAAAACAAGTAAGATTTTGCCAGAGTAATCCAACCAAAGAGACCAGCATGTGCAAAAACCATGGCACCAGGAAAGAGCATAGCTGAATAAAAAGCACTTCTGTTTTACCAGACAATAGAGAAAGGTGGGGAGTGGTAGGCAAGTATGTTAGAGAGCCAGCCAGGGTAAATAAAGGGCCTTGTATGACCAGCTGGAGAACTAAGACTTCATACATTAGACATGGAGGAGCCAGTGAAGGGTTTTAAGCCAGGTGAGGCATGATCAGACTTGCATTTTAGAAAGATAAACTTGGCAGCAGTGAGAAGAATGATAGGCAGGAATTGAGATGAAAGGCAGGGAGACCACTGTAGTCAAAGTGGGAGATACTGAACCCTTAAGCCAGTCGCTGGTGTTGGGCATGGAGAGGAGAGGATACTCTGGTAGATATTTAGAATACAAAGTTAACAAGATTGGTGACAAATTAGATGTGGGAATTGAGAGAAGAATATAGGTTTCTGACTATTGCACCTGGGTGGATGGTGATGCCTTTAAAGAATATAGATATATAAACAGGGTGTGTTTTTTTTTAATCACTTATATGCGGAATACAGAAAGGTTCTGAACCACTTCAAACACAGTGCACCTGAGAGAAGAGTGGGTCATCCAAAGGAAACTCCTGTGGACGAATGGACATCTTTATTAAGTGCAGTTGGTTGACTGGGGTGTAGGAGCTGCACACTTGTCTAGGGAGGTCTGGGTCAGTAGAGACTGGGAGACCTATTTCTTGGTTAGCGGAATAGAACAAGACAATTTATCTTGGAGTAGGGCTAAAAGCAAGAGGTGGTAGAATCTAGTGAAAGGAGTCTGGGAACAAATATGT